TGTGAGTTTGCTTCTAATTGGCACCACCCACAACAAAGTTTAAAGTAAACATTTTCAGTTTTCAAAGCCAGAAGGATAATGCCAGGCTACTGCAGTGAGTTTTTAAACAGCTCACAAAACATCATTGCTGTGATCAGAGGTAAAAACTCCTGCAGAGACAAGGTGGGCACTAATGATCTCTGGGCCCTGCTTGCAAGCTGTTCCCTGGACTCTCCCTTCTCACAACCTCTGAAGGATGTGGCCTGAGGCTTGTGGCTTTTGGCCATGTAATGTTTCCATTGCACAGTTCATAGGGTCAGAAAGGCTGACATCCTCTGCCAAGGAGCCCTGCCAGTATAGCTGACGGGGAGAAACTTGGGTGTATATCACTTTTACCCTGTCCCTTAGCTGGTGAGGTTTAGTCCTGACTGCAGCATTATTTAAAATAGCTTTAGGATGGTTTAGTGTTAGAGTCAGGGAACTCGCCTTCTGTGCCTTTTTACCTTGTCCATTACTTATTTATTAAGAGCTTTAGCTTAAAGAGATAAAATTAAACTATCCAGGTAGTTTTAGTAGTAATTCTGTGGAGCTTCTTCAAAGCAGCTTTTTTTTGGTGTCCGCACATGTAGACAGAATGCTTAAAATTGATTTTGTGGCTGCTAGGGTAGGCATGTGCAGGCAAAGAAACGCCAGATATTCATGCAGGTTTTTTTTGTTTGGTTTGGTTAGTGTCTTTTTGTTATTGTTGTTGTTTATTTTTTTTTTACCATGCAGCCTTTATAAGCAGCATTTGGGAATAAACCCTATCAAATTTCACATACTATACACTGCAATCTTAGATCTATATTCTTAATATCTAACAGCCAGGCTCACATGCTTAAATTTCTGCAGTGCTTCAGAAATACGTTGTAGTAATTATTTAATTGATATGGATAACAGAATCAAACCAAATATTTAAAAGCATTAGCCCCCCAAATAATCCGGTAAACCTATTCCTAAACTCTTAGCCAGATGAAGCCAGGAGCCAGACACACAAATTATTGTTAGCGTTTTTCCAAATGAGTACATTAGATCAGGTTCTTAAATCTTTCCTTGGACAGCTGAGTAAAAAGAGTCTGAAAGCACAGTTATGCTCCTGCCTGGCCCTGAAAACATGAAATTCAGGTTTGAAATGGGGAGATGTGAACAGTGTTGGTTGGATCAAACACAATACCAGGTGAAAGGGCTGCACAGCTGCTAAACAAGGTGATGAGGCCATGAGGGATGGTATGTGCCATGTGAATGTACTGGTTCAGACCTCCTTTAGCAAGGGGATTTCACTGCTTGTTTCCAACACAGTTGAGCACTTGACCCCAGCATCTCCTTCCCCAGAAAAATGATTGGCAGAATCTCCAAAAATGGTGAGTGTGTGTGACCTTGGGAATCTGCTTTGTTTTAGGCTTCATGACCTATGGTACCGAACTGCACATACTTTGGGCTCTGGAGTTTTGTATCTTGGGGTCAAAGCCTGTGGGAAAGGAATAACCCTGCTACCAACAGGCATTTGAAGTGTGTGGGATAAAAAGTGCTATGTGAGGGGCTGCTGACAAGCATCTGGAATGACAGAGATGACCCTCTGCTGTTGACTTCACAGTTGACATTCTGCAGACTGAAAGGAGGTGACCAGTTCTCTGGGGATGGAAGAGTACAAAACATAACCAAAGATGAAAAGGAGCTTTGGAAGTGCCTTAAGGCCCCAGTTGAGATCCTTTGAAATCCCTTTGTGCCAGGCTGTCTGCAAAATGCACAGTGCAAGAGAGCCTCACACAGGGCAGGTGTGTGGAATGGAAAGGAAAAGCAGGAAAAACAGCAGTTCCCTGACACCTCACAGGAATTCACTGTCATAAGGAGAAACTGAATGCTAAGTCTTAGTCCCTGACCAGTGCTTTGTTACCTATTTTGTCATGACCTGCACAGGTTGATGCTTGTTTCCAGATATTGATTAGAAGGGTGCCAAAAAATCCACTACAGGTGTTACTTTTGTTGCGAAAATATCAGCAGTTCAGTTAACTAGAGATAATGTCCCTGCTGCATGCTTTGGGGGCAGACATTCCCTCCCTCCTGGAAAAAGCACCTCTCAAAACGATGGCTTAACAAAGTGCCTGCCTGCCTCCAAAGCGGCTCATGTCAGCCAAGTGCCAAGTGAGGAGAGGAGGCAGAGCCACTGTTTGAGAAGAGTGATGCCCATTCTTGAGCCCCCTAAAAATATAGGTCCCTTATATGGCAGGAAACTCAGTGCAAGTTGAAGCTGTCAGAGGTGATTTAATTCTTGCTGAGTGCTCTTTGACTCCTCTCTGAGTCCCAGAATGAAGTTGAGGTCAGGGACTCAGTGACTGCTGGCTGCCAGCCCCGTCACAGCTCTGGGAACAGAAGCTTATGTCCATGTAATGCAGATCAATAATCTCACCATGGGACTGATCGCTTGTAGCCATGTGCTGGGACTCCCCATCTCCAGTGTTAGAGATTGAGATGAGGCACAATGACTGCATTGAAAGGGAAGATGTGCCTTTTGTCCAGTAACTAATATTTCCCTTCCATGTACACTTCTACACAGAATGGGCTGGATTACCTCACATTGAGCCAGAACATTCAAACTCGTTGATGACATTTCAAGCAATTGCAGCACTTGTTACATTAATGGCAAAATCTCCATGGCTTTTATGCCTCTCCCTTTTAGAGCTTAGGTTATCAGTGGTAACTCTATCCCCGATTATTTTTGGTAGAGTAACTCTCACCCACCTTATATGCAAGCAATATATTTGCTGTAGACATGGTGCTGCAGTCTAATCCTAGACCCATAATATAATAGAGTGAGGAAAGGGCCAGTCACCTTTAGAGAAGCCTTCATAGTTTATGTCAGCAAAGGTTTTGGGTCTGTAAAGACTGTTGTTCATCAAAATATTGAAATTGCATATGATTACCTTAGACTGAAAAAATAGGCGTATAGTTTTTAAGCATTTTCCTGGAATTGGTACAGATATTTAAGTGATTATTGGTCAGTAATAGAATTCTGATCATTTAAATATCTGAGGTAAATCAAAAGCTTTTTTTCAGAAGCAGCAGCTCAGATGTTATAATTTTAAATGTTATAAATATACCCACAGTAATGACTGTAACACCAGTTCCTTTATATACATAGAAATTAGCCATGATGATCAATATTAATCTTTATTGCCTTTGAATTGAAATAAATTTAGAAATTTATTAATATATGCTATTACATCACACTGATTCACAGATTTTATGGCTATAAAGGGATATTGTATCAGTTTATCTCATCTCTTGTACAGCACTTTGTACAGTTTCCTTATAGTAGTCCATTCAAATAAGTGTATCTCACACTTGGGTTTTAGGACCCATGTGTTCTGTGATCTTTACCTACCTGTTTTTAGCAAGCCCCTCACAGGTAGCCAACAATTTGTCTCTCTCCATGTTCTGATTAGCTTATACCAATATTGTTGCTTGCTATATTGACTCTGCCAAGGTGGTGGTTCCTTGCACACCTTTCATTTAAACTCAGAGACAGGTGTACTTCACAATATAATGATCACAGTATAATCTTGTTCAGTCTAACAATTTTTTCCTTTAGATACTGACTTGACAAGATAATGACTGATTTCAGTATAGCCAAAATTTAATCTTTTTTTGTAGTAGGTGATCGATATTGTTATACATCTGCATTCCCACGGTCAAGGCTTTCCATTAACAAAGCCAGTGAAGGCATTCAAAGGCTGCATGACTGCATCAACAAGTAACAGGGACTTTTCTCTCAGACTTAGCTACACCAAAGTTTGTCATGTCATGTGGATATAAAGTATCTTAGCTGTGAGTTGGAATTAGCCTCTTTAGTCAGAACAACTGGCTAAAGAATCATAGAGCTTCTTGCCATGTGTCTCTAGATAAGATGCAGTGACCACTAAATTTTCTGTAAGTTATAACAGAATCAAAGAAAAGGGACCTGTTCTATTCCCACACTATATCCCAAACGGGGTATTAGTTGTCTGGTAACATTTATCTTGTGGGATTTTTTTTTTCCACTTAATTAAATTTCCTCAGTGTAACAAACCAATATGATTTTTGCAATACTGATTGTAGTTTTCCTGAGGTTTTACCTTGGAGAAATGTATTCAGAACTTAATCTGTCTCCACTGAAAAGAGCTGTCTGCAGGAATTTGCGGTGCCCTTCTGACACTGTAATCCTAAGCAGCCCAGGGAAATTTAGGGAGAATCTCAGGATGGAAAAGTGCTGCTAGTTCTATTAAATCCTATTAAAATGTCATAAATGGAAAAATGAAGTTTAAACAAGGCTTGGGGAAGCACTTTTAGAGAAAATCTGTTGTTTTATGTAATTTTTATTTTTACCATTAAAGCTGCTTTTGTTTTGCTGCAGACATGCATTGTGAAAATTTTCAGGAAAGAATAAGAAAATAGTAAAATGATTCAATACCAAATTAATGCCTTTATGGTTATAATTTCCTTCAGTTGATTTTTCCCTGGCAGAGCTTTAAGAAAAGTTCTATCTCACCAAATAACAGAAAATCCATAGTGCAAAAACAAGCAGATATTTGCAAGGAGCCCCAAAATTTTGCTGATGAACTCCTGGTGTTTTGTTAGTAGATATTTCTAGAATGGATGACATCTGATGTGATTTTGTAGATGCATACTAAGGGAGCATACATACACACACATACATACATGTATATGTGGACACTTTAAATATCTGTCTCAGTAGGTAACAGTGGAATTTACTCCATTCATTCCTGATTCCCCTGGGGCTCTGGAATTTCAGGATCTGACATCTTCTGATAGAGAATTTCTAGTTGTGTTGTTTCAAATGCTGGTTTAAATAAAACAAAACAAAAAAATAATTAGCAGCACTAATACAGCACATCGTGATTGCAGGTTAAATATAGACATGGATTACGGAGTCATTGTTTTCACTCCTGCTAAATAAGACAGTGCACTTAAAATGGAATGCCACTTGACCTTTTGTGTCTCATCAGTCTGTGACTGTATTTAACCGATGCAGGGAGGAAACATTTTCCCCTGGAACTGTCCCCTGTTGATATGACGATCGCTACTGCGGGGTCACGCCATGCACCAGAGGCAGAAGCCCAGCGCTCCAGAACACACGAGCGATCCTGCAGCCGATGGAGGAGCTCTGCCCATGTCTCACAATGACTCACGCTCTCTTCTCAATTTCTCTCAGCTTATGCTCTCTGCTGGCCAAATCAAACCGTCACCAGCGCTCAAACATTCAAAAATCACATACTTTGAAGTAGAAATTCTTGATGTGCAAAGCAAGAAGCAGATTTGCATTGTGGACAAGGTGAGTGTATTATTCCAGCAGGCTGGGGATGTGCCTGGTTCACACAGTGCCAGTTCAGGGACTCTGTTTTCACTGTTTTGTGGTCTTAACTCTGTAGTAGAAGTACTTTCATTCTTTTCTCTGGGAAATACTCAGAACTTTTTGTTAGTCACAATTCTGGGCTGTTTTTCTCCAGGGTTTTTACAAATAATCCAACACTGATCTGTTTTAGACCTCCTGGTTGTTCTGTGGACTCTAGATCTGTCCTTAGGCTGTCTCTTGACAGTGTTTATTTCAGAGCATGATACTGAAATGTCTGCTTCAAAGTGGATGTTCAGTTTTAATATATTTGTAAACCTTACCAGCTCAGTAATGCTGGTATCCACACACACTCAACTGCACCCTACTTATTAGATTGGGCAGGAACCTGGCACTTTTAAAAAATTTTAAGTTTTAAAAAAGGAGTCTTATCTAAAAGAGGTATTTTGAGATTTTGTTTGGTTAGTTTGTTTGTTTTAATAATGTGAGTAAAAATATAAACTACGGCCAAATTTTATAAGTAGGTTGAGAGGACTGGGTGGGAATGAAGTTTACAAACCCATAAAAAACAGCTAAAAAACGCTTCACAAATATTTTCATCGCAGTTTTCGTGATTCATTTTGTGACTCTCAGCAGAAGAGCTGGTCTGTTGCATGCCATGAAAATGGGAATCCTAATCTATTTAGACTATAGAATTTTTCAGTAATGTAGTCGAGTTTTGAGACTTACTGTTTTGCTAGAAGAGAAAAAAATAAAAATAAAAAAATTCCCTTATCCTCACTGGCAACAGCTGGAACTGGTAGATAAGTTTGCTTCAAGTGTTTAATGCCTTTGAAATATGTAAGGTGGAATACTACCAGATTTCTAGTGTTCTTGATCATTTAAAGGGTGTTTTTGAAATTTGTATGCCTAGTTAAAGGTAAATGTCTCATTTGTTCATTCTTTATGAGGCAAAATATTTTTTGATTTTTTTTAATCTAAACAAAGAGGGAATACATACAAAATGGTCAAATAAATATGATGACTATTAATACCAGTTCTAATGATAGTGTTCACATTACTTTATTGAGTGATATTTACACAGTTAGGTTATCTACATACTATACTGAATTAGGTTTTGATCCAAAAAAAGACTGAGTCTGTTCTTTATCTTGAGCTTTCCTGTAGTGTCATTAAAAGAAATATATTACAGAAACAGAATTAGGTAAAGAGCCACATTTCAGGAATCTTTCCATGATGCCTGCTGGTGGAATGATAGTAGACCTGTGTTTTAATTTTTATTCTGAATTTTGATGAGCCTTAAAATTTTCTACACCTTATCCAAACCATGGACTCTGCCCCTGCAGTGGTGGAAAGAGAGACATGAGTGGTGATTGAGAAGTACTCTCCATATATAGGTAAAATACACACAAGGGAGCAATAACAGCTGTAAACTGAAAGTCTCTACTCAGAAACAGGAATCTGTGTTCAATTTACATGGCCAGCATACCAAGGGATTGGTACAAGTACAGTACAAGGCTGAGATTTCCAAGACTGCCTAAAAATCTGTTTTTTGAATGCTCATTCACCTGGCTGTCTAGGTCCCTTAATTTGCTGTGAGAGTCCCTTCCTAAGACAATCCTGAAAGTACAGAAGTTGAGTTCCTTACTTCCATGAACACTTGTTAGTATCGGTGAGCTTCGTTTCTGTTGGTTATTAGAGCAAAAAAGAGACTGTTTTACTGGATTATGCATAATCTTCTGTTTAATTAAATGTAACTGATACAGGCCCAACATGACCCTTCTAATGCTTTTCTATTTTTAAGATAATTATGATTAACATTGTTTCCTGAGATTGCATGTAATTATTACTTGTCAGGATTTATAATAGGAAGAATAGGAACCATAGATTTTAAAATGTATGCATTTGCACTCTTATTGCATATTGTTAGTAGTTCAGACTATTAGGATTTAGAAAATACATTTCTAATATTCTCAGATTAATAAATTTAAAGGGACAAATAATGGCAGAGAGAGCAACCTTTTCTTTCTCTACCTAATAGAAACTCAGGCAGAGTGATTCAGTGATTAGTGCTATGTGGTTAAATACCAGTGGCTGCCTCCAGAGGTTCAGTTTCTATGAGACTCTGCATATGAATCCATTCAGATCAGTGGGAGCTCATAAAGTCTGCAACATCGTGATACATTTAACTAGTTTTGCTTTTAGAAAGAAATCATTTCTTGTCCTTAATGCAATGTCAGGGATTTAGAAAAGGTACATTTAGCTGTGTGATCTCAAGAAATCAATTGGTATAAATAGGTTTTGAATCCAGCATAAGTAACTGTAAATTAATTCTCTATCTGTAAAATGAAAATAACATTATTTTCTTTGGCTTTCTTACCTGTCTTATACTTTTGGGAAGGATCAGTCACTTACACTAAGTGAACTGAGTGGTTACTATGAGTTTTTGATCATCTTTAACATAAAGAAACAGAATAAATACATATTTGCTTTCTAAGCCCGCAAGACAAATTCACATCACACTGCAGGCTTTTCCACAGTCGGGAAAGGCATAAAAAAAATACTGAAAGGAAGCAGTAGGAGAGGAAAATCCCAGACATTTTGTCCTATAGTCATCTCTTCAGGAGCTAGGTCTTGAAGAAAATTACCTAATCTTGCAAAACTTGAAGTAAATTCACAGGAGTCAGCAACACTGGCAGTTCATTTTGCACATGCACACTGTGAACATAAAATTCTTCATAGGAATATAATTTCTTTAATATTGTAAACCTGCTCTGGGGACTTTCTCTGCATGGATATGGCATTATGCAAGTAGTTTGGTGCACACAACCTTTTCCAGGGAGTTACTTAAAGAATTTAAAAGAGAAATAATAAGTAATGTGAGATCTATAGCCAGGTGGGGGTCGGTCTCTTCTCCCAGGCAACCAGCAGTAGGACAAGAGGGCATGGTCTTAAGTTGTGCCAGGGGAGGTCTAGGTTGAATATTAGGAAAAAATTTTTTCCAGAGAGAGTGATCAGACATTGGAATGGGTTGCTCAGGGAGGTGGTGGATTCTCCGTCCCTGTAGGTCTGTAAGATGAGACTGGATGTGGCACTTAGTGCCATGGTCTAGTAACCACGGCGGTGTTGGAGCAAGGGTTGGACTGGATGATCTCAGAGGTCTTTTCCAACCCAGTCAATTCTATGATTCTGTAATCTTTCCCTCCACATTTGCTCTTGGCATAGAAATTAATTCTGAAGTGGTAGGCCATGGAGAAGAGGCTTCAGATTTTGGGGGATCGGGGCAGAGAAAGGAGGAATCAGCAGCCAAAGGCCTTACAAGAGCTGGCGCCTGAAAGCCACAATTAGGAATATTTAGCCAAGAAATTTGGCCCATATTTTGACAGTCAAGGGGTGATAAGGAACAGTTGGGTGTCTTGTGAGTCAATCTTCAGTCTCTTCAACGTTCATATCAATACTGCATTTTAAAAGATATTCTGCAGTTGAAACATGAGTCATAAAGGTTTCTTGCTCAATGAGTGAAAGGACTATTTAGCAAGGAATAAGTCTCTTCTTTGGCCAGTGTAAAACAGCAGGTGAGCCTAGATGATCAGAAGTCCCTTTTCTCCCTTACAATTGATTAATTTCTATGGATGAAATTCCTGTCTCTGTGCAAAGAAGAGAGGGCATGTAATTAGTGATTTCTTGTTAGAAATATTTTCAATGAAAAAAAGTCCTAAGATGTCTAAGGATTTTGGCTTTTGTATTGCTTCCAAAAAGACATAAAAAACAACAGAACTAGCAAAATTCATCAAGTATTAGAAATCAAAGAAAACAACTTCTTTTTGTATTTTTTAACAAATACTCTACATTTTTTTGCCAGCCACAATTTATGAAAAATACATAGCTTCTCAAAAAATGTTTTACTTGTGCATTGTTCCAAAAGGCTGATGTAGGTTGGTTTTAAAGTTATCGATGTGCAATGATTTGATTTATAAATGCTGTTAAGGTAACTCATAACTGGTTTTTTATAGCATTCATTGTATAATATTTTTTTCTTCAAATTAACTTGTAGTAAAATGTATTTTCCCACAAACATAGTGCCATGTAATTAACTTTGCATGAGTTGCTTTTAAGGCAGAAAGTGTTACACAATATAGTTTTTACAGAATAAATCACCTTTGGGGAAACCAGCAGAGAAAGCTTTTTCCCATCTAAAGCCTCAGACCTCAGTAGTTTTGTGCTCTCCGATTTTGCAAGTTAAGCTGTAAACAGAGGTGCAAATTCAGGTTTTGGCTACTATGCAGTGACCCTTCTTTTCAGAAAACTTCCTAATTTCTACTGAAGAGATCTTGCTTCCTAAGATGTTCAGGAAGAGCCTCCTTTCTTGGTGTGCTTCAGAGATGATGGAAACTACTTTCCTGCTGTTCCTTAAACCAGCTCTCTGTGCACTACACAATGTCTTCTCCTGAAATCTCTTTGTAAAACCCAGTTACTGAGAGTTAAATGCTTATGGTTAGGAATATACACTGTAGGAACATTTAACTATATGTTTGTGCTTATGGACATGCTGTGCAATGTCTATAATGAAAGTCATGTGAATGTTATTTTTATTAGATTAAAAGACCATTGCATTGACACAAGTCTGTGCATCAACCCCATCACTTGTATATACACAACTCTTCTTGCAGTTAAGTATAACACTGTGTGTATTATTACATCTTTGCCAAAGATTAATTAGGGCTTATTCTGATTACTCTGAAAGGTCTGTCTTTGTATGAAGGCGTTCACAAGCCATTTTTTGTTTGAAAAAAACCGAAAACAGTAGTGTCCTTGTATCTGCATACTATGGCTTAACAATACAGTGGATTTACACTGGCACGTCAGCAAAGCAGAATGGTATCTCTAGTATCAGAAATCTATTAGTCTGGCCTGTGGGTTGCAGCTCTGTCACAGAAAGTGAGCAGCCGAAGAACAGTCATTGCCGGCTCTCTTTTGCATAG